TGAAACGGTTGTCTGCCGTTGCTTTCATGGAGGGAGGGATGAAGCTGTACCCAGAACCACCTGTGACAATGTTTTTTGCCCCATCAGGCACGGAGATCTCAACCCAGAATTCCAATGGGCGGGGGAGACTGTGGGAACTATGGAATAGCTATGGGATAACTACCCACAGTGCGACGCTCTGGAAATCGACGCTAGCCCCGGTACATGGACGCACACCGCCGAATTAATGTGCTTAGTGTGGCTGCATACATTCGACTTTATACAATCTGTTTCCAAAATTCGAATTCTGTAAATTCGGATTAATCCCGTAGTGTAGACATACCCTTAGGAAGGTTGGCAACCTACAGGGAGTGCCTGGAGCAGGAGGAAAAAAAGATTGCAGCACCGCACCCAGCTGATAGGAGGCTCTCAGGTGAGGTTTCCCCTGTTACAGTTCTGTACTTAGGTTTCACCAATCAGTTATCAAATGTGGAAGAAACGAACTCCACTCTCAGGTTGGAAGCAACGAAGTTAGAGACAGCTTTATTCAGGACATGCAATTGCAAGGGAAGAACACAGCTGACAGAGAGCATCTCTGCCTCAGTTTCTTCAAAGTACAAGCAATATCACACAAGCATTTATACATTTTAATGGCATGCATTAATTAAAAACATCTGCAGTTTGTTTATGTTATGTCCTGCCCATTCCTATATTTTCTCACTTCTGTTCTCAAAACATCGCTATCTCAAGGCTGAGTCATGCTGACTCTACTCTGCTGTCTTCCCACCCGCTTCTGACATGAGCCCTGCTTCTACAGGTCCCGCAATATTAGGATAAGACTTAGTATGACAATTGCTGTTTCTTACAATGGAGAGGCCTATATTTAAATCCTTTAACTCTGTTTCCACACAAGTGTAAATTCTTAAGGCTCTGTAATAGCCTAAACATGGGGTCACAGATAGTCCCCATGGATACTCCCAATAGTCTCTTTTGCCACCCAGGTAAGCTTACCTGTCCTGTGTGATAGAAGGTCCCTTACACCCAGAATCACAGCAATATTCAGGTTACTCCCAGTTCCAAAGGACCAGTCACTTACTCCAGATCAATTGTACCTTAGATCTCACGCCACAGCCAACGCTTGTCGCCAATCCTATAATAAGCTACATGAAGATTTATTAAATAGGAGAAGAAAATGAGAGCTATTCACAAAGTTAAACAGGTGAACAGACACACACAAATGAGGTACAATCTTAAGTTTGAGAAAGTTATAAAAGCTTCTGTAATAAGCAAGGTCTATGTAGCCGTTAGGGCTAACCCAGGCTAAGCATTGGGGATTTAGCATCATTATCCCTATTTTACAAATGGGGAAACTGAGGCACAGGGAAGGTTATGACTGGCCCAACAGCAGCTCAGTGACAGAGCCAGGGACAGAACCCTGATCACCCGAATCCCAGTATAGGGTGCTAGCTACCAAGAATACGTTTATGCAATAGCTGTGTGGGATCTTCCCAGGCCGGGTAGAAATACCCGCACTAGCTCTGCTCGAGTTAGCATGTTAAAAGCAGCAGTGTGGCTGTGGGATCACGGGTGGCAGCTCAAGCTAGCAATCAGAGTACAATCCTGCCATTCAGCCACCTGGGTACGTACTTAGGCAGCCAGTGTAAGCCGCTGCTGCACTTCTATTTTTAGTATGCTGGCTCAAGCAGAGGTAGTACGTGTACCTCTAACCATGCAGGGAAGAACCCTCGCAGATGCTGTGCAGACCTACCCTCGACCACATGGCACTAAGGCCTAAAGATTTAAAAGCACCTTCTGATTATTGGGGGCTTCCATTTGTTGTGCCTGATTGGGGTCCCCTTCTGTGAGGCAACCCTGAAGTCAGACCAGGACTGCTCATGCAGCTGCCATGACTCACCCACCCCCCATGACTCCCTGCTTGTGGCCCTGTGACCCTCACTCCCATCCCTGTTTTATCATTTGTTATCCCCTGAATGTATTTGAGCAATGTGTCCAGTAGTTCCTCCCCTTAGGCTGGGGGAGGGGCCTTCTGACCCCAGGAACTCAATAGGTACCATGACTCATCCCTCCAGTGTGACTCATCCCTCCAGTGTATGTGCCTGGCTTCTTCAGTTCTTGATAAGAATGTCAACATCCTCCTTCTTTTCAAAACACTTCTCAAGGTTGTCAGCAAACCCATCCCGCACAGCCCTGATCAGCCACTGATGCCACAGGCCTGTCTTGACTCTTAAGCCGATATAGTTATAACATTTCCCCTCTTGAGACCTGATTGGCGCAGGTATCAGGGGAGTAAACAGGGAACAACTTGCCAAGGTGTCTTGCCTACAATGAAAACATCCTATACGGCTGAAACAATTTCAGAGCATATCTAGTAACTGTCACACCCTACTTCTGGATGTTCCAGGGCCAGGTGATCAGCCCTGCACTCTGCATGTATGCTTAGATGCAACATCTAAATGTTTTAAGTGAGCTGAAAATATTTTGTTGCAGCCTATTGGACTGTGTCATCACACCTTTGTGGCTATTGCAGTCATAGACTCATTATTATTACCATCATAATGTAAGAAAAGGTGTAAGAGACAATGCTGTGTTTGTATTTACATTTTCCTGGGAGCACAGAGGAAAGGATAAGGTTTACATCAAGTGGTTGCGAGCAGGTAGAACCTGAAATCAAAGAGGAATATTTACAATTTAGATCACCAGAAAAAGGTGGATCAATTGGTTAATTCTAATGGGACACAAGTGCCATCACTTTATATACATTGCTTATAGAGGGGATAACTGTACAGCTGGGCCAACGCTCTCTGTGTGCACATCACAATCTACCATTACACTATCAGGCCTTCATTTTCCTGATCATAAAAAACATCCTGACCAGTGCTGGGCAGAGAAAAGGAGCAAGATCACCTTAAATTTGAATCTAAAACGATGGTTTGAAATTTTGCCAGGCTAAAACTGATACCTGTGAAATATTTCAAAAGTTTATCTACAAAGGGGAATTTTGGAAAATTAAGGTGAGTGTTCCACTGCTTTCCTTCTTCTCTTTGGACTTAAAAAATCAAATGTGGATTACACCCGAACTATACAAAACTTTAAAAATGTTCAAGACAGGTCAATGGCCTAATGATTAGTAGTAGTTTGGGAAAGGACTCAAGCAATTTTTTATGGGTGCCCTGACTGCCATTGTCAAAACTAAGGCGACTACTTCTGAACGAGAGCGCCCACACAGGGGTTTAAGGCACTGTAAATGATGTGCATTAACTTCATACCTTTAGAGTGTCTGTGTAGACAAACCCTTAGGCTTTGTCTACTCTAGCACTTTTGTCCACAAAACTTTTGTTGGTCAGGGGTGTGAAAAAAAACCACACCTCTGACTGACATAAGTTTCAAGTGTGGACAGCTCTATGTCAGCAGGAGAGCATCTCCTGCCGAGTGGCTACATAGCAGACCTTACAGCGGCGCAGCACCAGTGGTACAGCTGTGCCGCTGTAAGGTCCGTAGTGTAGACATAGCCTTAGTAAGGGAAAGGGAATAAGGGAAACTGAGTGGGGGAAAGCCTCTGTTAATTCCTTTAGTTTAAAATGCAGTAACTAGTTTTCAATTATACTCACATAAATGGGGAGGAGGCTGCTGATATTCATACACAAATACCTCTGATGGCAAAGGAGGCATCTTATTAGCACAATCAGTATCAGAGTTGTCAAGTCATAAACAATAATGGTGCATTTAACATCTTTGAGTCAGCATTATCGTTTGTCCCCTCGCTGCAAAGAAAATGTGTTTTTATCGAAGGGTAATTAACATGCATTAACGATCCCACTGTAAACACATAGTAGACACAGGGTATTTTAATTTCACCAAAAGACAAACTATGCCTCCTGCTCACCAATGCAAAGGCGTAACAGAATCATTTATTTTTAAAAATCCCTGATTTCGGCAGTACAAAACAGTAAACTTGTCAGAATGAAAAACATCACTTCAATGTATCATAGCAAAATATGTAACATACATAAAAGGCTATAAATGTCAGATATGCATTTAGAAATATAAACAATTCAGTAGAAAATTCACCATCTCTGTATGCAACAAGTGAAGTAACAGATGAGTAAAGCATGTGGTTCAGTGTTGGGGGATTAGTTACACAAAAAAGGATTTTTAATAAATTTTCAGTTAAAGAGGGAAGGAGGGGGGCGTAAACACATGCTAACGGAAGTCCAAAACAGTACTGAATATTATAGGAATGTACAAACGTTTTAGGTATATGGATTTTAGGGTACAGATTCTTTGAGAAAGGTAACAGCAGAAGTATGATGCTGGTGCACCACCAACGACTCGGACACATAAAAGCAAATAAAAAAGTGTGTGTGTGTGTGTATTTTTCAGTTTCATTAACTTTTGGTGCACAACCCATGCCTTTTGAATTCTTGGGGCTGACAATCTATCTCAGGGTTACATCTATCTATGTAAGAATTACAGTGGAGTCTGCCTACAGAAGGATCTCACTCCAGCTAGCAGCCACAGAACCCCGTGGGCCAGGTTTGTCCAGGTGTGTAGCCTCCCAGTGAGTGACAAGGGCAGCCAGGTACTCCCAGGTGCCCCACCAGGCACCTAAACAACAGCTGGACTAACCAGGCCCCAGAGCCTGGCCTGACCTTCACCCCATGCCCTCCCTTTGTCCCGCCCCCTGCCACCAGCTGGCTGAGTCTGACCCGCTCTTGCACAGGCTCCGCCCCTCCCCATCCCTCCCCTCGGATTGGCCCCGCGCCGCTAGCCGCAGGGACGCCGCTGTCATCCCAAGTGAGGGCAGAGCAGGGCCGCGGCTTCAGCGGATGTTACTGCGCATGCTCAACTCTCCATCGCGCATACTCAGTGACAGCAAGGCAGTACATCGGAGCGGATTCTCCCACTACCTCCCGCTGCTGGGTCTGTCAGGGGCCTCCCGCGTCGCCGCCTTGCTATCCGGTAGGTGGCGCGTGAGGCGAGGGGGGCCTGGCGGTTCCGACAGTGGGGCGGCAGTGCGCTCTCGGCTCGGTACCTGCGCCGCGCTCCCTCAGCAGGGTTGGGGCAGTAGGGAGCTGGGCGCGTCCCACAGAGTGGCCCTGCTCCCCGCGCGGGGCATGCCGGGGGCTGGAGTCCGG